GAGTCAAAAACTTCATTTGTTTGTCCTGCCTATTCTGGTAAGTAGGTGAATATCCTAGGTGGACACCAATAAAATTACTAACTCAGTTATCTGAAGAGTTTTTACTTGACCATTATATATATAAATATATAGCTTAAAGGATGAGCATTCATTTAAAAAAAAAACCAAAAAACAATTAGCCGGCGTGGTGGCACATGCCTTTAATCCCAGCACTTGGGAGGCAGAGGCAGGCGGATCTCTGGGAGTTCGAGGTCAGCCTGGTCTCTATAGCGAATCCAGGCCAGCTGGGGCTACAGGGAGACCTTGTCTCAAAAAAAGATCGAAAAACTAAATAAAACAAAACAAAAACCCCAAAACAACACAACCCCCCCAACAACTTTTAGCATGAGTACATAGACATAAGACTAAATACTGAACTCTGATTTAGACTTTTAAATTTTAAAGGTCCAGAGTAGCATACATGAAATTTAATTCCTGACTTAAAAACAGGAATTATGCAAATATTTTAGCGATAAAGCAGCCAACCAATCTCTCTTAAATATTACCAGCCAAGTTTGAAGTATACATATTATATTGCTATAGAATGATGTAAGGCAAGCTAGTATATCTTTATGGGAGGAACCTAGTTTTCTCCTTAAACAATGTCAGGCTGAGAATGTAACAAATATTGAGTAACTGGTATGTTCATGAACTGCTACGGGAAAGACATTAAATCAATGATGTATGTATGCACATTTCTTTGTGGATGTATTGATTAGTATTACATCATCTAAAATAATAGCCTAACGAGTATAAAGAAATACTACAAACTTAAAGGATTTATTCCAATCCATGGGTTTGCTGCATAATTCTCCACAATCAACACCAACTATTAAGGTTTCTTATTAAAAAAAAATCTGGTCTTCTCATGCCCAATTACTTAGGGGAAACCATGTAGGGTATACATTTAACCAAACAGACTGGCTTTTGTAATTCCCCTTCTTTCTCATATTAAAGAGTAATACGATTAGTAAACAGTATTTGTTCAGAGGAGTAAACACAAAATGGTATAAAGCAATCATCCAAAGACTACTAGTCTGCACTATTAACAAGCTTATTCCTTCTCTAAGACCATACTGCATGCTAGTCTACTGTATTTTCTTCCATCTCAGTTACATGTCATTGCCACAGACTTCTGACCCCTCAACTTAGTCATTTTAGGAAGCAAGAATCAAAATCATTTGCTCACTGGGCTGCTACTTGTCATTGGAGGACACCACACCTACTCTCCCGATTCAGAGAAAGAAAAACTCCAAAGTATCAAGTACCAGATCCATAAACCCAGTGTCACATAATTTCTAAATGAGTGCTATTAGATGTCTTAAACAACAAATAGGCTGGTATTCTTATTCTCAGGGAGTACATATATACCTTTCCTTCCAATACTATATAAAACAACTTCTCATAAGGGTGATTTAAGATTTAGACTCTTACCCTTCTTTCACTTACCAGGAAAAAATGTTGTACTGAAATAGCTATTCGGTATGTTTATCCACACACATATAACCTCTTGCTTTCTTTAAAAAATAACATTTGGCCTATATTAATTTGTTCTGAAAAACATTTTTTTTTTTAAATTTTTTAAATGTGTCCTTGTGAGTATAAAAGGCCAAATCCCTATAGCTACTGCTATAGGTTTGGGGAATTTCAGTTTCTGAGGGAAATCGCTGGCCTTTCTGGAAATAAATTTCCTTTATTTAGACTCATGTTTATATAACAAAGGTATATTTTAGCAATTAGACACTTCTAATGAATGGACCCACTATCAGTCTTTATACTAAATAATGTCCTATGTACATTAAATTTTATACACTGATTACAGCTCCAAAAAAGTACCTACAGCTTTTACACCAAGACAAGGGTAACAGTTTGCCTCCTGGTATAAATTTATATAAATTTTCTCACTTAAAGTAAAAAAGAAATTCCTTAAAATAATAAATGTACAAATTTCTATTTCTGGCACATACCAGGACATAACATTATTAGTCACTGGCAAATCAGTTTAAAAAAAAAACCAAAACCAAAAAAACTGCAAACAAGATATAGAGCTCTATGCCATTAAGGCATCCTTATAATCAGGCTTTCAACTATCAGTTTGGTAGTTGACAGCTCACAATTGTTACCATTCATGAGTTCCTGGAATGTGACCTACAGAGTTCACATTGGTCAGTTATTTATGGAAAGCAATCTGTAATGTGTTCCTTTCAGGGGGCCAATAGTATTTTGCACCTCCTCTCATTTACAGCAAACTGAGTTTCTTGAATGCTACAGGTGGCTTAAACCAATTTTGCAATGTTCGCTGTAAAAGTGGCAACACAATTCTTTGCCAATCATCATTATATCTACCAGTTACTACAAATTCAATCAGAAAAGTATCATTATCTAACCTTAAGGTTTTCTAATGAAAATGCCTAGAAAGATAAATCAACTTCATGGCACTTAATAATTATGTAGGGTCAGTAAGCAATGATAATTGAGGCCTTTTTGCATATGAAACCATCAGCCCTTTTAAAGGTATGATAATATTTGTTTGAGTCAATATACAATCTTACATGAACCCAAATCATGAGACAGAGTTCAATATATCAATCCAAGTCCCACCTCAATCCTTTTATCTCCCATTTTTCTTCTTTTTGTTAAAAAAACTGTTTCCTAAATCCACAATTTTTTAAAAGTATTTCCTTATGATCTAAATTTGTAAACCTATTCATTAAGTTTAAGGCACACTTAAGAGCTCTCACTGTAATTTATATAATATTTGAATGACTGTAAATAAAACCTCAGGTTTTAAAAAGGTAACCTCAAATCGTATTAAAAGTAACAATTCCAGTTACTATTTCTTTAATAAAGTATTCATCTGGGTAATTTAAACATGTGCCTGAAAAACTTGTTTAAATTAAAATGTAAAACTTTAGAATGCCCTCTTTTTTACAAAGGCTTTCCTTTAAAACACAAGAAAAAAAAAAAAAAAAGAAATCCACTATTTCTATTTAATGGATTCATTCCTTCACCAGGTGTGTTGGTCCAGTGATAAAATGTCAAATGTGTAAGATTACATCTTGGAAACTAGCATGTTAAAAACGAATTGGAAAACTAACAAAAATTAAAAGTGTACCGTGAATAAGCAATGTAGATTAAAATCTACAGACTGGGTTGAGGGATAGAAGTGTCATGTTTAAATGGGACTATACACAACAAAACCCTTGAATGGGTTAACTGATGCAACTAAGAACAATGGTAACTATATTTCATTATGTTTGGATAAAATTTCTGAGATTACTAACTTTCAGTACAGTCAGAGGACAAATATATGCATCTTTGAGAGCATACTCTAAAGAACACATTTCAGTTTCCACTTGTCAAAAGATCTGCTTCACACCATATTATCCTTTTGAATTCTGAGGAGTCTAATTACATATGCTGTAAACTGAGAAGGCCGTGAAGAGGAAGGAAGATGCATTCTTCATAGCTTCTATGTTTTATGCCTATGGGAAGGAGAGGAGGTTGAAGAAAGTCCTTACTTGGAGAGATACAGGGCAGTGCAGAGGATCAGAGAGTCTGAAGAAAAGGCAGTTTATCTAAACTTAGAAAACAGTGGTTCCTGGTGGCCAGAAAAGGAAAGTTGTCTACCGACCAAGCTCAACCTGCATCTCTAGTGCCCTACTTGTGAAAACTGGAGCAACTACAAAAATAGAGGGAGTTTTCTGAGGGGCTTGTCAATCAGTTTCTTTACTTGGTGGTTCCACCCATATTGAGTTTCTCAATGAGCAGCTGGGTAGCTGAGCTTTCTCTGGACACAGGATATTCTCTATGAGCTCTCCAGTGGAAGAAAGACTCCCCAAGTCAGTCAGCTACAAAAAAGATGAACTCTGAATTACAAAAAAGCAGAGATGAATGAATTTCAGTGTGCATTTCCAAACCAACAACGTATAAAAATAAGGGTAATTAGAAATTCAAAGTTAAGAATGTGAAGGGACTATGTAAACAAAGTTTTAACATCTCATCGTGGTCGTCTACATACCAATGATTTTAGAAACTATAAAGTTTAGGTTTAGCACCTAAAACTAGCCTCTCAAAACCCTGTAGGTATGTAAGCTACATGAAACTGCCTCTGTAATGTTGAAATAGTGTTAAAACGTAGTGATTACGTTTTTAACAGATTTGCAATTATAGCACGTCAAATGCCACGTGACGTTTCCTCAAAACCACTAAAAATCCTAATTTGCCCATAAGCAGACAGCAAGTGCTGCAGGCCAGCGGCGCAGTGCGCTCATCTCTACCTACACTGCACAAAGGGCATCCTCACTCTAGGTGGAGGAGCCAGTTACTAACACTTGCACTGTCACTGCCAATCTCCTAATCTCAAACACTGGAGTTGTACTTGGAGCATCCCTGTTTCCTGTAGTAAAAGGCTGTGGGAAGAACATCTTTCCAACATTTTTGCTTAAACCAACAAAAAGCAATGAGCAGGCTGCTGGGAACCTCAAGCCTCCTGTAGGAGGACAAGGTGCCCTCCACCGCTCTGCTCTGACCCCAGGTCTCTGCGCCTTCCCAAACACAGGGGAGACACCTTCCAGCGCTTTCTTTCAGCTTTCAAGGCCTGGTCTTCAGGGGAAGGGTAAATTTCAGTCTGCCTCAAAACCACCTCTGGCAAGATTCGGCCCCAAGTACCCAGGATACCTAGTAGCTTACAGAGGGCCCTTCTCTGAGCGGGGCAGGGCAGCACTCCACCACACTGTGACCATTGAGATACAGTTTTGGGGCCACAGTGGTGCATCACTGTCCGTTTCATGGCCCTAGGACCTGTGGCCAGGCCACGGTCCCCCGTACTCCTTCGTTTTAACCATATCCACCGGCTTCGCTAAGCGATCTAAGGGTCAGGCGCGGGGCACCAGAGTGAACCCCGCAGCGAGGCCGTGTGGGGAGCCGCTAGCAAGTATGGACAGTAAAGCCGTGCGTACCTGTCTTCATCCCCATCAACAGGAATGGCTATGCTGAACACAGAGGTGGCCAGACTGTTCATGGGTGTCAACTGGAGGGGGTTGGCCAGGGCATCTGCAACTGGAGGCTTCGCGGCAGACTGCTTGTCAGCAACGAGAGAGAGCGGAGGCTGAGGTAGGGGTTCGGATTTTCTTCTAGTATCGTCCACCGGGCCGCCGGGCGGCTGGCTGGGAGTCTGAAAGTGGCTGAGGTCGGCCTGTGGCAGGCTGGTGGGTGCGCTGTGCGTGCCGGGGGCTACGGGATGCCCAGCGTGCGCGATGCTGCCGCCGCCGCTCAGCTGCGCCTGGCCCAGGGGTGCGGGGACATTTGGCATAGTAACAGAAGTGGTAGACACGCTAGGCACGCCGGGAGCGGCCAGGGCTGCAGGCACATTGGCAACTGCGGGCACCGCGGCGTGAGGGCCGGCAGGCACGGCCGACAGCTGGCCGCTGGCACCCACGTGCGGCTGAGGCACGGACTGCGGCGGGCCACCCAGGCCAGGCTGCACCACGCCTCCCGCGGGCTGACAGGGCGCGCCGGGGCCCGGGCCCGTGGCCACCGCCTCCGCCATC